GAGCTTTCAAATATTCCCGCCAGTGACTCTGCAATGATGTCGGCCAGTGCCTTCAGCACCCTCGGATGGAGCTCATCCGGGCCTGCTGACTTAAAGGCATCCAGTTCTTCCAAATGACTCAGCACCATCTCAGGGTCTACGCATGGTAGTCTGGCGCCTTGCTGCTGCCTCTCTACAACCCCAGTGAGAGACTTGTCGTGCCCCTCACTTAGGAACACTGAGGCAAAGAACTCGTTGAGGAGTTCAGCCTTGTCCCCTCTGTCCATCACTTGAATACTTTGAATACTCAAAAGTGACTAGTGAATCCTTGCTTCATGCTTAGATAGTCTCATTCACATGCCAATATCAATTTTTCAGTAATGAGGGCTACGTAAGTATCTGCATAGATGAAAATTGGAGCCACTCATACATTTCTGTGAACTGTCAATTGGATTACAGGTAGGTTTGCTACTGATAAGAGGTGAGAGGCAGGTCTATAGCCTGACCTTCCATTTTCAACACGCAAAGCATGAGCTTCATGCTTATCCCAATGTCTATCTGGCCACCTATTACAGCGAAACACCAGTTCTTACCCGTGTGCTCATAGTTTGAATAGATTCAACCAAAACAGTAAGTCCTTTCCACCCCTTCCTGTGTGTTTAATTTTAATTTTTTTCTTATCTTAGAGTCATAGAATCATAGAAAATTAGGGCTGGAAGGGACCTCAGGAGGTTATCTTGTCCAACCCCCTGCTCAAAGCAGGACCAGCCCCAGCTAGATCATCCCAGCTAAAGCTTTATCCAGCCAGGTCTTAAAAGCCTCCAAGGATGGAGCTTCCACAACCACTCTGGGTAACCTGTTCCACTGTTTTACTACCCTCCCAGGGAGAAAATTCTTCCTGATATCTAACCTAAATCTCCTTTGCTGCAACTTGAGACCATTGCTCCTTGTTCTGCCATCTGCCACCACTGAGAACAGTCTCGCTCCATCCTCTTTGGAACCCCCCTTCAGATAGTTGAAGGCTGCTATTAAGTCTCCTCTCAGTCTTCTCTTCTCCAAACTAAATAAGCCCAGTTCCCTCTGCCTGTCCTCAGGAGTCATGTGCCCCAGCCCCCACAACATTTTTGTTGCCCTCTGGACCTGCTCCAATTCTTGATAAGCCTGTCTAACTCAAAGTATCTTCTGATTGGCTCATTCAAATGTTCTTTGTTCTATGAATTAAATCTGGAAATCCGACTGAGTTGGATCTTCCATGATCTTGGAAAATGTCAAGTAGCCAAAATGTAGGTCCTTGTGAGACTGAAGGGAAGATTTCTAATCTTCTCATTTTATGGTTATCTTTAACAAAGCTGCTATTGGCATTTGTTTTCACAACTTATCTAAGGACCATAGCACAGGTATACTAACTAGAGCACAAACTACATTTGATACATCTGGTGACATCCATTATGGATTTATACTAACATTCTTATGCTAAAACTACAATATGCCACATAGGGGGGCCTGCCCCACACCCCCCCTGACAGCAAGTGCTCTCTCAGTGAGTGGCTGGTAGCGGGGCACAGAGAGTGCTTGTCCCCCCCCCCCAAATTTGGCTGTGCTGCATGTGGAAGTGCTGGCACTTCTGCTGCCACCACTGAGGGACCCCGCCCTCATCACCACTGGGGGACCCCACCCGAGTCATGCCCCACTGGTGCCCCCCAGACTCGGGAGGCACCAGTTGCCCATAATACCAGTTGGTAAAATTGTGCTACCATTGGACCTCCAGCTATGCACAATTCAAATAACAACACACCTTTTGAGCATGGGATGGACTTCTCACTGAGAAGGCAGAAGAGGGATGGGCAGGTTGCTACTTACAGAAATAGTATATGTTGAAATCAGTAGTGGGCTTCCTCTCACCTGTCATACATGGTAGTTAGCAGCCTTAGAGTCAAATCAGGGGCTTTTGGATCTACTTGGCCTGGTTTGTCTAACCTGGCACTCTGAAACAGCTCTTTCAGCAATGAGCAGAGCTGCTGTATTTTCAGAGACTTCTCCTTCTGGCACTGGTGACATGGAAGGATGTGCTGAATCAGGGAGACATCAGTCAAGTCCACTGTAGGGAAAATCAAGAGGAAAATTAATGAGAGTTCCTCTGATTTTATTGTAAATGTAAGCTGGACATTTCTTAATTAAATGCATTAATTAGACACGCCTGGAAAGGGAGGCCACTCGCATTATATGGAAAGGGGGAACATCCGTCAAAGGATCTTTCACTGAATTCAGCAAAGTGTATGAGAGTATAAAGAAAGACAAAGTCAACCACAATTTCCCAGTCCTCATTTTAAAATGATTAGGCAGGAAAAAATGCATTGGTGATTTTTGTAAGATGCAATTTAGCCCTGGTGGAGAGTTAGCACAAAAGCAGATGCACCATATGAATGTTCAAAATCAGATGTATGTGGATTTCAAGTTCTTTGTCTTTGCTGCTAGTTTCCATTCCATGCCCACTGTTCTGAAGGAGCATGAGAAATGCTTTGGCCAAGAGCACAGAGGCAACCATGGGAAACTAGTGTTCACAAAGGCCAGTCAGGACTCTTAATTTTTCTGAAGGTCTCAGCCAACATAAACTTGAACCTCATCAGTAGGATAACATAGGAGGAGAAAGGCCCGAATGTATTACTCAGTCACAGGATTTGAACCACTAGTGTGTTGTAACTGTGAAAAGACTAATGTGAAGTATTAATGCCATTGTACAAGACATAGGTGGAATCTAGAATATTGTGTACAGTTATGCTCATCCATGTTCAAGAAAGAGGCAATCAAACCGGTTTAGAGAAGGGTTACTACAGATTAGAAACATGTCTCTTCTCTAGCAGAGATATGTCTCTCTCCTATCAATGACTTTAACTGGATTGTGTTGTGTGGTCTAAACTAAGGCTATGGTTATTATCCCATTACCTGGATTCGTTTTTATAAGCCCCATGTCCCTCAGTGGGTTAACTGCTTTGTTCTTCACTCTTCTCCCCACTTTGCCTCTCTCAGCGATGCCCCTTTCTTTTTCCTCTGCACCTTCCCTATCCTTTGTGTTCTAATCACTGCTTTGTATTTAGCAGCTCTGCTTCTGGCAGTCCCTTCACAGCATCTGATAAAGTAAACCCTGGCTTATGAAAGCTTGTGGGCTCTGTCAGAAATGCAGGGCCCTGCTCTAGCTCATGGCACTGTACATAAAGCATCATGAGTTAGAGTGCCCCCTTGACCCAACAGAGGTTTGCCTGCTGGGTTGGGGATGAAGTGGGGGGGATTGAGCCTGCTTGCTTGCACTGGCCCTACTGGCCAGCAGGTGGTGGCACTGGCCAGGACCACCCCTCTCCCCAGCCCCGCCCCCCTCCCAGCTCCAGGAATCTTGGGGACCCAGTCCAGCTCACCCCAATACCCCAGCCAGGGTAGCTGATGGTGAGGGGCTCTGTTCCAACCCCCTTTCAGCTCAGGCCAGGCATAGCAGCCTTGCAGCCGCTGCTGCTCCTTTCACTCCCTCTGCACTGACAACTTCACCCCCATGGAAAAAATTAACTCCCAGGGGAACACAAGTGCCCTAAGGTGTTCTAAAACAGAGAGCCTTAATCTGTTACCTAATTAGAGAAGCATTAATTTTTCTTGCAATTGGCCATTTTAGAAGTGCTTTGCAGCTGTGCACGTGTATTAGGTCATGGCTGTAGAGTGCTCTCAGGAGCCAGATTGTGCAAAGACTATTGCTTCGGTCTGCACCCTATGCTGTACATCTGTAATTTAGTTAGTCTATAAAGAGCAAATCTACCCTGCCTTATTTGTAACAATAGTTACACCTGTTCCAAGGATGGAAAAATATTTTAAGGATTGCATTGGTGAAACCAGTCAAAACCAAAGTTTAATTTGTTTTTTTTTAACTATGTTAATATTATTTATATTGCAGTACAACCCAGATTGACATACTTCCTTTCTCATGCCCTATTATTGTTTATATTTCATGAAAGGGTAACAGACACAGGGAGCTTAAGGGCTGAATTGTCTAAAGTACTGAGCTGATTCAGGATCTTATGTTACATTCACTTGCAAGTGATGGACAGCTACTTCTCACTTAACGAGTTATGTTCTTGAAAAATGCAACTTTAATCAAAACAATGTTAAGCAAATCCAGTTATGTCACAGTAGTTACCTACTAGCAGGCAGCGGTCAAACAACGTTATAGCCGAACATTACACAACTTTATATGAGCATGTTCTCTAATAGGTCAGTGACGTAATAACAAAACAGTGTTAACTGGGAAAACATTAAGTGAGGAGTACCTGTAACTAGTTTTGAAAATCCCAATTGGCTTCTGCAAGTCTGGTAGGCTTGGGAGCTGAACCCAGATTTTATGATTCCCAGCTGCATGCAGGAACAGAAAAATCATTGGCGATGCATAGGGGGTGAACATGGGCATGTGCACCCCCTGAGATGGGTGGTGCACCCCCTGAAAAAAGCGCCGCCAACACTACCAGTGGCGCTTGCGAGCGGTCACTGCTCACCACCCTCCTCCCCTCACTGCCAACATCGCCGTGGCTGCCTGCAGGAGCTCCCCACTCGCCCACCACCACATCCCCACTGCCACCGCCACCACCTGTGGGTGGTCGACATGCCCCCCAGCCTCCAGGGGCATGCATTTTTCATAAGAAAAACAGTCTTCCTTCATAGTTTCATACTAGGTAGGGTCAGAAGGGACCTGAGTAGATCATCAAGTCCAACCCCCTGCCACAGGCAGGAAAGGATACTGGGGTCAAATGACCCTGGCTAAGTGATTATTTAGCCTCCTTTTGAAGACCCCCAGGGTAGGAGCCAGCACCACTTCCCTTGGAAGTTGGTTCCAGATCCTGACTGTGAAGTAGTGCCTCCTGATATCTAGCCTGAATCTGCTCTCGGTCAGCTTATGGCTGTTATTCCTCATTACTCCCAGTAGTGCTCAGGGGAACAGCGATTCTCCCATAGCCTGCTGGTCCCCCTTGGCCAGTTTGTAGATGGCCATCGGATCCCCTCTCAGCCTTCTCTTGTGGAGGCTGAACAGGTTCAGGTCCCATAGCCTCTGCTTGTAGGGCCTACCTTGCAGCCCCCTGATCATGCGGGTGGCCCTCCTCTGGACCCTCTCGATGCTGTCCACATCCCTCCTGAAGTGCGGCATCCAGAACTAGATGCAGTGCTCCAACTGCGGCCTGACCAGTGTCATATAGAGGGGAAGGATCACCTCCTTGGACCTGCTTGTGATGCATCTGTTTCATTTTGGCATCAATAATGACTCCAAGATCCTTTTCTGCCTCTGCACTGACGAGAAGGGAGTTCCCCAGCCTGTAGATATGCTGCTGGTTCTTCCCCACCAGGTGCAGTACCTTGCACTTGTCAGTATTGAATCCCATCTTGTTCTCATCCACCCACCCCTGTAACCTGTCTAGGTCTAGTTGCAGCCTGTCCCTCTCCTCCAGTATGTCCACTTCTCCCCACAACTTAGTGTCATCTGCGAATTTGAACAAGGTGCTTTTCACCCCCTCATCCAAGTCGCTAATGAAGATGTTGAACAGTGCGGGCCCTAGGACCGAGCCCTGGAGGACCCCATTGCCCACATCCCTCCAGATTGAAAATGACCCATCCACCACCACTCTCTGGGTGTGGCCCTCCAGCCAATTAGTGACCCATCTGACTGTGTAGGCATCGACGCCACAGTCACCTAATTTCTTAATGAGAATGGGGTGAGAGACAGTGTTGAAGGCCTTCCTAAAGTCTAGAAAGACTACGTCCACCGCGGCACCTGCGTCCAAGGTTTTGTGACCTGGTTGTAGAAGGCCACCAAGTTGGTCTGACAGGACTTGCGTCTAAAGAACCCATGTTGGTTGCCCCTAAGCATGATCTCCTCTGATGGTCCCTCACAGATGTGCTCCTGGATAATTTTCTCAAAAAGCTTCCCCAGGACCAAGGTAAGACTAACGGGAATGTAGTTTCCTGGGTCCTCCTTCCTCCCTTTTTTGAAAATGGGGACCACATTGGCCCTTTTCCAGTCGTCCGTCACCTCGCCAGAGCACCATGAGTGCTCATAAAGCCATGCCAGGGGTCCTGCAATGACCTCTGCTAATTCCCTCAGCACTCTGGGGTGGAGATCATCAGGACCTGCTGACTTGAACACCCACCAGAAGTTCCCTGACTAGGTTCTCACTGACCCTGGGGCTGGCAGCGCTTCCCCTGGGTCCATCAGGGATCCCAGTGGGGGGGGATGCCCTGGCTCGTGCTCAAAAAGATGGAGGCAAATAAATTGTTAAAGAGGTTAGCTTTGTCGTCTGGTGTGACCACCAGATTTCCAAGTGTATCCTGCAGAGGCCCCATGTTACCGGGTACCTTCTTTTTACCCGCTATGTATTTAAAAAAAATGACTTCTTGTTGTCCTTTATTCCGGGTCAGTAGTCCCAGTTCCATCTCTGCCTTAGCCTTCCTAACAGTCCCACTATAATCTTGGGCAATGGAGGTATAATCCTCCTTGGTGATGGCCCCTCCCTTCCATTGGGTATATGCCTCCTTTTTAGCTTTGAGACATTTGTGGATGCTTTTGGTAAACCATGGGGGCTTTTGAGCACTCCTGCCCCCTTTGATCCATGTGGGAATTGCCACCCTTTGGGCTTTATAACACTTTGGGCTTATATTACATCCTTAATATGTCATAAAGGTATTGATGCATGTTTTGTCCATTCTCAGGAATAGTTTTGTGTGAAGGGGCTGGTGCATTCAAAGGAATAAAAAGACAAACAAATTCCAGGGGTTCCAGTGCAATGTCCAACTTCCACACAGCAAATTGGAAACAGAATAAATGCTCAGCATTCTACTCAGTAGCTCTTTCCCACAACAAAATTCTCTTTGACTTCAGTGGGAGATTTGCCAGAGTAAAGGGTCAGGAGCGCTGAATAGAACCTTTCTGGTCTATAATATTTTATTTTGTTCTCGTTAATATTCATGGTATTATTAATAATGTTTGCAAATTGCCCTATGCATTTTTGATTGTCTCTGTCCAATAAATCCATTCCTAAGAAACAGATCCAATTTTGACATTTAACAAGGACAACAATACATAGATGAAGCTCCATATTGCTGGCAACTTTTATGTTGTGTTGGCAATATTACATACTGTAATAATAATCTAATTAATCTGTGTCTCTGAAAAATGTAATGGATCTTTATAGACCTTTTAAAGGGGAGTTTGTTTGAATTTTAATAGTGGTAGAGTAATCAAGTACTAAAGGAAACTGTTTACTACTGCTATTAGAATAGATCTCTTTTTCAGTAATAGCAGTGAAGTATGCTCTCCAACCTTCCCTTATCTTTCCATTAGAAAGCCCAAGAAGATTGCTAGGATACCCTGTCCCAAGTAGCTATCCCTTCCAGTAGTAAATACTACATTTGAGGGGGTAATATTTGTAACCATCTGCTTTAACATATGGGATGAATATCCGACTTCAGCATCTTGGTTTAGTTATAATGCCAGGCTCATGCATCTGGATTTATGGTTAAAACTAGGATGTGGAAAATCTAGATTCTGCTCCTGGATCTGCTGTGGGGGTCTCTTGTGACCTCTGACTAGTTGGACTGCAATGCATCCTCATGAAGAGGACAAGCACAATGCTTCTGCAGCACTTAAGTCCTCTTCTGTGGGGATCAAATGGGATTTAAGTGGTAGATAATCCTTTTGTGAGCCTCCTGCTGCTCTGTGCCCACTTTCTTCCTCTGGAATGGTGAATGATGATGGTTATTTCATGGGAGTGCTATGAGAGAGAGTTCATTGGTACTCTACTCATTCACCATGACAAGCAGTATCTCTGAAAATCTCAAGCCTATAAGTAAAATTAAATGCTGCCATAAGCAATTCCATTGACTTTAACAGAATTACTTAGGGGACAAAGCCTAATACTTCAGTTTGTGTGTGCAGGATTGGGCCCCAGGAAAATTAATCAGCGCATCTGCTGCTCCTTGTTTGGCAATGGTGCTGAGCTGCTTTCTTAGATCTGTTGGCAAGAACTTAGTAATTGGTATTTCCCTGGGAACTGATCCTCCTGCTCCCCTTCTTCCCTTCATTGTTGGGGACAGCAGGTTTCTGGTCTAGGCTTTATTTCATTGCAGCTGGCTTTAAGAGCCAGGGCTCTTTAAATGTCCTCCTGCACTGCCTTTTATTTTAACTAGAGCTCACACAAGATGTGTGAAATGGATGACAATAAGTCTCTTCAATTTTTTTTTTTTTAAGAAATATATTTTCTGCAGGGTAGTTTGATTATTGAAAATATTTGTTTTCAACAAAACCCCATTGTTGATGAAGTGTTTTGGGGTTTTTTTGTTTTTTGGGGGGGGGGGGGGAGGGGCATAGAACTGTCAAAACTATGGTGACCAGCTTTATTAATGCTTATGTTATAACAGAACAAATAGAAAAGATAATCCGCATGGGGCACTGGGAATCCTCTCTGTTAGGGTGAGAATATTTGGATTTTCGGGAGCATTGAATCTGCAGCTGAATAAAGGCATGATCTGTGGCCTAGCAGAGCTGCTGACCACAAGGCAGAATAATAGCTAAGCCAGCCATTTGCTTATGCTAAGTAACCATCTTAACTGTGTCAACCATTTTCTGAGGAAAAAACAGCAAGTGAATCTGTGTGAGTCTGTGTGCTGTGAATGAACTGACACTCTAGGAATGTGGAAGATGGTACAACATGAGACAGAAAAACAGACTGGAATGTGAAAAACAACACGTAATTGGTCACAGAATCTGAGATGAACATATGCAAAAAGGTAAATAGTGATTGGTGAAGAAGCCTCCAGAAGCTTCCAGGTTTTGGTCAAAGTCTGCCCATTCTCCAAAGAAAAGGAGTCAAGGTCTTAGACATGCACTCATAGCAAAAAGACATGTAAAGAAGTAAAACGCATAGGCAATTCCATGCTAATGAAGCAAACAGTAAACACAGGCAGAGATTGAGATGGGAGGATAAATGGGTGGAACATAGGAGGAGCAAGGGTGGAATGAATGGTAATGAGCATAAACCAAAGTGTATAAATGTGGGAAAAAACTATTGTTCAGGGCAGGTCCCCGGTTTGTTGTTTTTTTGGGACCTGGCCCGAAGCCATCTCCATTCTGAATAAAGCTGTTGTGAGCAATGTGTGCTGGTGTTTGCTCCCTGCCTGCTCTGGCTAATGAGTAATAGGACCCATGGGCAATTGGATCGTTGTCTCTCTAGTCATTGGTTGCCACATGGAGTCGGGGTCTAACACTCGATATTACAAAGAATAGGGTCTGAATTCTGCTGCTGACTCTACCTTTGAGTCCCTATCTTCTCAGCAAGTCAGCTGACCCCTCTGCTTCTGTTTCCCCATTGGGAAAACTGGGATAAAAATATTTACTTTCCTTTGGGAAAGTGCTATGAGATTGTACAGGAACCAGTGCTTTTTCTGACAGAGTATAATTGTCCATTTGTTCACAAACAATTTGCAGTGTGCTCCAAAACCCTTTAAGGGAAGAGTATTAGAAAAAGGCAAAGCAGCGTTTTAGTTCAGACTGTGACTTTTCTTTTATCTTGCTGAGATTCTTTGACCCTAGCTGACTTCCTGCCTCTGGGGCAGGGGGCTGGACTTGATGATCTTCGAGGTCCCTTCCAGCCCTAATGTCTATGAATTTTCCAGATTCCCCTCCCAGTCCAAAAGTACAGAAACCTCCTCATCTACTTACATTGGCAGAGAGTTTGTACTGAGCGTAGTTTCAGGGCTGTTCTATAAACAGAATTCTGGATGTCACTCAGAGCCTCTGTGAATGAAAACACAAATACGATGGGTTGGTTTATGCCAGGGGTGGGCAATTATTTTGGGCGGAGGGCCACTTACGGAGTTTTGGCAAGCCATCGAGAGCCACATGACAAGCAGCCAGGGGCAGATAAATATTAATTTTCTAAATTTTTTAGGGGCCCCGCAGGCTGGATAGAATGGCCTGGAAGGCTGCATCCGGTCCACAGGCCACATTTTGCCCACCCCTGGTTTATGCCCTCCCTCCATTTCATGACTACTACATTTAAGAGAAAATCAAAAAAATCACCGTGGAGGAATATGAAAGAAGCCATCAAAAGCCTAGCTTACGAGTCCTATGCTTCCTCTGACTGCTCATCCCAGGTCTCCCTAACATATTAGAAAAATGCAGAATCTTCTTTGAGGGTTCAGAAAGTAATGACAATTTTGAAATAAACTCGTTTTGTGTCCAGTGGGAGCTACGCAGCTGTGGGGAATGGTGATTGTGACATTGTTGAATGTACCCACTGTTTTATGACTACATGTACAAGCAATGTGGTCCAGGAAGTGATTATTGCACACAGAATGCTTTATTTTGAAATTGTCATTACTTTCTGAAACACCCTTGTATTTTAAAGTACAACTAACCTTGCAGATGTAATGACTGCATTAGGGTGTGACTGCAATATAGTGCAGAGTTTGCAGGATCATAGAAAAGTAGGGCTGGAAGGGACCTGACAAAGTAATTTAGTCCAGCCCACTGTTTAAGGAAGAATTAGGTTAAAAAAAGTATCCCATTCAAGTATTTTTTTCAACCTGCTCTTGAAAATTTCCAAGGATTGGGATTCCACAATTTATCTAGGTAGTCTGTTTCAATGCTTGACCACCCTCATAGTCAGAAAGTTCCTCTTAATCTCCAACCTCAATTTCCTGCGTTGCAACTTGAGATCATTGCTCCTAGTCCTGTCTCCTGTGGCCACAGAGAAAAGCCCATCTCCATCCTCTCTATCTGTTATCAAATCCCTCCTCAGTTTTCTTTTCTCCAGACTAAATAACTTGAGTTTGTTTAGCCTTTCCTCATAAGTCTCATTTCCCAGGCCCCTAAAATAATTTTTGTTGCTCTGCACTGGACTTGCCAACCTATCTATATTGTTCTTGGAATATAGGGCCCCAAACTGGAAATTGTACTCCAAGGAAGGCCTTACAAGCACTGAATAGAGTGGAAGAAACACTATCCTTGATTTGCAAGTGACAATCCTATTAATATAACCCAGTACATGTATGCAGTTGGTCTTTTTACAACAAGAATATACTTTTGACTGACATTCAAGTTATGGTCTACTGCAGTGCTGCTCAACGTTTTGGCCACAGAGGAGTGGTACAGGGCCTATCTATGGGCCAGATTGGGCCCTGGGGCCCAGTACCACGCCCTCCCCTGGGATTGGACCCTGGGGCCTGGTGCTGCCCCTGCCTGGCCCTCTGCACTGGGATTGAGTGCCAGATTCTGTACACAAGGCTCAGGACTCCCCATGGGTCCAGAAATTTGGCGGCAGGGGAGCAGTGCCACCACTTTCCTGTTTCAAATTTCTGGACCTGTGGGGAGCCCTGCAGGCTGGATGACATAGCTCTGTGGGCCAGATCTGGCCCATGGGCCAGAGATTGAGTAACCTTGGTCTGTTGAACCCTGCAGGTCCTCTGCAGATTGCAGCCTAGCTAGTCATTTCCCTGTCTGTATTTGTGCATGCAATTATTCCATCCCCCATGCAGGACTTTGCACTTGTTGAACTGTTCTTGTTGAATTTCATTTGGTTGATTGCAGACTGTCTTCTGAGTGTATTTGGGTCATTCGGGATCCTAGCCCTGCCATTCAAAACGTCTGCAACTCCACCTAATTAGGTGTCATACACAAATTTGCTAAGCGTACACTCAATTGAATTTCACTGGTTTTATAGACATTAGGGGCTAGAAGGGATCTCGTGAGTTCATTGAGTCCAGCCCCACTGCCATAGGCAGGAGTTACCTGAACCAGAGTTAAATTCAACTTCAAACCAGCAGAATCTAATCTTGGCAGAATAAATTAGTCCATGCCAAAGGTAGTCTACCAGTACTACCTGAGTTAGGTTAGGTATCTTTATACAACAGAGCAGTCGCAGAAGGAACTGCTGTGTGTGTGTGTGTGTGTGTGTGTGTGTGTGTAGACAATGGTAGAGGAACTAGCACACCTATCACTGGAGCCCAACATTGGAGGTCACTATTTTAGGAGAGGTACTGGAGAGAGAGAGAGAGAGAACTCTAATACTACAACTGACCAAAGAATTTCCCCTTCAATTTTGGGGGGTTGGAAACTAATTTTTCACCCAAATAGAAATTTGTGCAGAAAACCTTTGTTTTTGCTTAAGCTTTTCAGGTTTTTGTTCCAAAAATACCTTGGGTTTAACAAAAATATGAAAACTTAGGAAACTTTATGTTGAACATGTTTGGGTTTTCCTCAGCAAGTTAGCAGATGACACCAAGCTAGGGGAAGTAGCAATTATGTTGGAGGGTAGGGCTAGGATTCTGAGTGACTTAGACAAATTGGAGGATTGGGCCAAAAGAAATCTCATGAGATTTAATAAGGACACATGCAATGTCCTGTGTCCCAGGGTGATGAGGGAAAAGGGATGGAGATCCCTTCCCTAGCATGGGGGCTCCGGGGAAGCCCCATGGCACTGGGAGAAATCCCTTAGTAACCCCACAAAGGGGAAATACTTACCACTGGCAGGCATGCCAAATGGGAAGCAGCAGCCGACAGACAAACTGCCTATGTGGTTCACCAGCCACTTGTTTCATAGAGTTAAGGTTAGAAGGGACCTATTAGATCATTGAGTCCAACCCCCTGCCCTAGGCAGGAAAGAGTACTGTCTGTCCAATCTCCTTTTAAATACTTCCAAGGAAGGGGACAGCACCTCCCTTGGAAACGTATTCCATATTTTGGCAACCCTCACTGTAAATAACTTTTTCCTGATGTCCAGTCTGAATTTGTTCTCTTTCAGTTTGTGGCCATTATTTCTAGTTACCCCGACAGGTGCCCTGGTAAACATCATATCTCCTATTTCTGGCTGACCCCACCTGATGAGTTTGTAGGCGGCCACGCGATCACCTCTCAGCTTCCTCTTGCAGAGGCTGAAGAGGTTCAGGTCTCCCAATCAGTCCATATAGGGTTTTTTCTGTAGGCCTTTAACCAGACAAGTGGCCCTCCTCTGAACCCTCTCCAGGCCATCCACATCCCTCCTGAAGTGCGGTGCCCAAAACTGGACACAGTACTCCAGCTGTGGCCTGACCAATGCCACATAGAGGGGAAGAGTCGCCTCCCTAGACCTGTTTGTGATGCAGCTACTTATGCAAGAAAGGGTGCGCTTAGCTTTACTTATTACCTCATTACACTGGTGACTCATGTTCATTTTGGAGTCGACTACAACTCCAAGATTCCTTTCCACAGTTGTGCTACTTAAAATGGTACCTCCCAGGCTATAGGAGTATTGATGACTTTTTCCTCCCCAGGTGCAACACATGCCACTTATCCTTGTTAAGCTGCATCCTATTCTGTTCCACCCACTTCCCCAGCCTGTCCAAATTGGCCTGGATTTCCTCCCTGCCCTCTAGTTCGTTTACCTCCCCGCATAGTTTGGTGTCATCAGCAAACTTGGACAGAGTGCTTTCTACTCCCTCGTCCAAGTCACTATTGAAGATATTGAATAGTACTGGTCCCAGGACAGAGCCTTGGGGGACTCCGCTGCCTACATTTCTCCAGGTAGAAACTGGCCCATCTACCACCACTCTCTGGGTGCATCCCATAAGCCAATTTTCAACCTACTGGACTGTGTAATAATTTACATTGCAACTGTTTAGTTTATTTATAAGAATTGGGTGCGACACTATGTTAAAAGCCTTTGTTTATATGGCTGGGACCAGCACAAGGCAGTGACATCATCAGGGGATGCCGGCCATCTCTGATAAGAGCCAGTGGCAGAGAACACCGGGGGTGCACCAGCTGAGAGGCGGCTGGGCACTCCCCCCAGTGTGGCCAGAGCCTGTCACTGAAGGAACCCAGGATGGGGCCCTGAAGAGGAATCCACTCCATGGCTTGGAGGGCAAACCAAGCCCGTACCAAGAATGACACCTAGGGACAGATTGTCACAATGCACGTAGGACATGTGAGTGGGGCAGCAACACTGTACCTCCCCGGCACTTTGATTCTTTTCTTATGCTTTTGAATTGCTCCTAAGGGCAGAAGGCAACCACTCACTCTTCCCTGGAGCCGAGGACTGAGGGGCCTCCGGAGACTCCAGGCTAGGACACGTGAAGTTCAGCAGGCCATACTCTGGCCCATCGATACACAGTCCCCAGGCAGGGATGGGCCATTTGGGTATAACCCAGGCCCACATTAATGGGTCTAAAATATAGGATCCTCACACGCAAGACAGTGTGCTAATTCAATGCCGCATTCAGGTTGCCGTACTAGAAGCATGGGTCAGGGTCATGCCAACAGGCCCAACGACTAAAGTATACAGGCCAACTAACATCCAGCTGAACACTGCTGGCTGGCACATGGAAAGGGTGTAGGGGAGGTAGAGCCCCAGGAACATCTGCTGGTGACATCTCCCAGCAAAATCCCAACTCCAGGGGAGCCTTCCACTCCTGAAGAGAACAACTAGTCATGGTGGGTGAGTATCAGGGGTCTCCATGGGGAGGTGATGCAATAGCAGCAATAGTGCTTGAGGGAAACTGGAGGCAGGACAGGAACAGCTGGTCCTGAGCTGTGCGAGAGCAGTCACTCAAAACCCAGCAGGTACAAAGTGGTGCATAGGCCAGGAACTCAGAAGAGGACCCAGCTGGAGGTGACTCAGTTGCAATGTAGCTGGCAGTAATGGGAAATCCTGACCTCCTAGGGCAGACTCTTCAGGCGCTTACTCAGATTCTTGATGTGTAGCAGCAGCAGGTAGCCCAGCAGCAGGACTGGCTGCAACATAACCTTTCTTTCTTCAA